AGGAACTGGTTGGCCCCTGTGTGAGACAGGATGCTGGACTAGATGGACCCTCCCTGGTCTGACCCAGCAGGGCTCTTGTTATGTTCTTAGAACAGGCTTCTATTTTGCATTTCGATTTCAATATTACTAAATATATTGCAATATTGCTACGTATTCATAGATGCAATGAATATCTCCCCCAAGACATCTGTGCATCCCAGCTTACGCTGAGGTATGGCAGAAACCAGGGTAACTGCCACAACCCAGCAGGCTTCACAAGGAGTCCAGATGTCCTTCTACAAGACGTCTCGGCAGGATGGGATTCTGTGGTTGCCATGGCATCCGTAGCACCTCAGTCTGTTCTGGGGAGGTCATTCCTCAGGTGATTACACCATAACTTGCTGCACTGAAGGGCAAAGTTGAATCCACACAGCACAGGTCTCTGTGACCAGCCTACAAGTAAGTTGCAAACCACAGTTTGAGAACCAGTGGTGTATATCCTAATTTAGAGCAGGAATCCCCAGTCTTTTTGGCCTTACAGGCACCTTTGGGTTTCTGACACGGCGTGGTGGACACAGCCACAAAATGGCTGCCAGGAAACGGCTGCCCAAGGAGACGGAGCCAGCCACAAAATGGCTGCCAGGAAATGGCTGCCCAAGGAGACGGAGCCAGCCACAAAATGGCTGCCGTTGCGTACCTTCAGTCACACAGTGGCTAAGGTCACGCACACTAAATAATCCACTTTCTGTCCACTTTCAATGCACTTTCCAACTGGATTTTCCAGTTCACACAGTGAACTGCAGTGAACCGCAGACAGTGATGATCTTTGTGCTATGGTGCTGATGCCAAAGAAACATTTTTTTAAAAAAACCTGCACAATCAAATCTCCACTGGCCAATCAGAAACCTTGCTGGGCAAGAGCTCTACCTGACTCCGCCCATTTTCTAAAAACACTTGGGCAGAACCAGGAAAGGTGACCTTCACTATCCGAAGGAGTCTCTGAGCGGCTTACAAACTCCTTTCCCTTTCCCTTCCCACAACAGACACCCTGTGAGCAGGGGTGGATTCACCATTAAGCAGGCTAAGCACGTGCTTAGGGCACCAGGGCCAAAGGGGGCACCACAAAGTTGGGGGAAAGGGTGAAAACTTGTGAAATATTAAAATAGATGTTGTATTGCATTTTTGTAGAACCTTATGTAGGCCAAGCTTGACTTAGTTTGTACAGTCTATTGTGTTATCCTATGAATAAATTTTTGCATTGCTGCAACCTGCATTGTATACCTGCTCAGACAGGTCAACCACTAAAATGGACTGGGTCAGTGTGTGGAATTGAGGGGGGCACCAAGATTGGTCAGGGCTTAGGGCAGCAGTGAGCCTTCATCCGCCCCTGCCTGTGAGGTAGGTGGGGCTGAGAGAGCTCTTTCGAGGGCTGCCCTTGAGAGAACAGCTCTGAGAGAACTTGTGACTGACCCAAGGTCACACCAGCAGCTGCATAAGAACGTAAGAACATAAGAGATGCCAATGTTGGATCAGGCCAAAGGCCCATCCAGTCCAACACTCTGTATCACACAGTGGCCAGAAATACCAGTGCCATCAGGAGGTCCACCAGTGGGGCCAGGACATTAGAAGCCCTCCCACTGTTGTCCCCCCCCCAAGCACCAAGATGACCGAGCATCACTTGCCCCAGAGTCCCTATCTATTCCTTGTGGCTAATAGCCACTGATGGACCTCTGCTCCATATGCTTATCTAATTCCCTTTTGAGGCCGTCCATGCTTGTAGCCACCACCACTTCCTGTGGCAGTGAATTCCATGTGTTAATCACTCTTTGGGTGAAGAAGTACTTCCTTTTATCCGTTCTAACCCGACCGCTCAGCAATTTCATGGAGTGCATGTGGAGGAGTGAGGAATCAAACCCGGTTCTCCCAGATTAGAGTCCACACTCTTAACCATGACACCAAACTGGAAAGGAGTTGGTGGGCACCATGGGACTCACAATCAATGTTCCCTCTAAGCTGTGGAGTCTTGGGAGCAAGAATTCTACTTTGTGAGCTCCTGGCATTAAAGTTGTGAGTGATCTATTTGGCTACTGCATAGATTAGTTTGCTCTGGAGCCATCCTTCCTGGGCTAAGACAAAAATGTGTTAGCTGGAGGCTAAAAAACTGTGAGCTAGCTCACACTAACCCAGCTTAGAGGGAACACTGCTCACAAGCACCATTTTGAGAACCCCCGGTTTAGACAGCAACGTAAGCAGAAATGGAGAAACGGACGCATCCTTGGCCCTAGGAGCTCAGCACTGTAAATGTTGACAAGGGGGGGAGATTGGGAGTCAACATGACAAGAAAAGGAAGAACCGAAGAAGGGGTGGGAAACCTAAGAAGGGGGAATGCCAGTTAATGCAGTCACTCGTGTTTATTTTAAAAAGCCAAACAAAGACCCTTTATTTATTTTCGAACAAGAAAACAAATTGTTCCCAACCAGCCTCTAAGCCCGTCTGTTTTGTTCTGGCTTCCAAAGTTTGATGAACTCGTTATCAGATACGCTTGCATGCATTCCGGCTCCTCCGTCCTTCCTGGAAGGGGTAAGGCAGAATTCGCCAGGATCCGGTCAAAGAGGTCGCCGTGTCGTTGGTCTAACCCACTGACAATCCAGAGTTACTAGAAAGCCCCTGTTCCGGTTGACCCTGGAGGGGTTCCAGATCGGAGGGACGACCCTCCGTGTGAAAAGGAAATGCATCGAGTCCCACTAATCAAATTGCTCTGGGGTCTTGAAGGTCAAATGAAGCAACTCCACGGTTCCCACTGTGTGGTTTGTGTCATGGAGTTGACTCGTTTATTTGTACAGTCGAATACTTAGCCGTTGT